CTGCTCCAGGCCCTCTGCCATGGGGGGCGTGAGCCGCGCCAGCGCCTTCTCCCTCCCCATCGACTGATTCTACCCCAGGTAAGCGAGCATCCTCCAGGCAGTGCTAGCGGCTGACCTGCCCCAGCCTGCTTCAAGGAACAGAGTCTTTGCCCAGTGCCTGGACTTGTTCATCTTCCCACTGAGGGGGGCCTTGGCATTGGCGGGCTGCCCCACTGAGTGTTGCTTATGGCCTAGGAGTCAGGAGTTCTGGGCTGTGCTGCTGAGTATGGGCTGGTTTACGAGGTCTGGGTGGGGGTGGCAGACTATTTCCTCTGTCCACGTCCTGCGCTGTACAGTGATCATGTTTGCACAAGGCATGCCTTGTGGTGCCGCAATATTACCATGGCAAAGTGCACGGAGCAGGATTTTAGAGGCGAAAGGGATGTGAGAGCAGGGAGAGGAAGGGAGGGGTGTGAGAGAAGGGACAGTTACACAAGCTGATATCATGACTAAAACTAGGCTTCCCACAAAAGTCTGGGGCGTGGCCAAAGCAGTTCCTGAAAAACAAAGGGCAAGCTGACACCTTAGCTAGCTCTCAGCAAAGCGGATGGGCCCTTACCTGCTAGGTGGGCATCTTTTGCGGGGGGGCTTATTTTGATGTGGTTTCAAAATATCTTATTTCGAAGTTTGGCACGGTCTACACAGTGCCAAATAAGGTGCTATTCCAAAACATCCCTCAACCCTCATGTGATGAGGTTTACAGGGACGTCGGACTAGCGAGCCTGTTATATTTCGATATAACGGGCTTGCTCTTAAGATGCGAAAGTGCTCCACTGTGTAGACGTAGCCAAAGACGTGTTTGTGGGCAGTCCGGGTTGGAAGCTACAGCAGCGCGGAGGGCACCCCAGTTTCAGGGCAGGAGCTGGCACAGATACTCCTCAGGCTGGACTATCCCCTGATAGCTCAGTCTGTTACAGCAAGGCTGAGTGTCAAGTCAAAAGCTGGGCAGCTCTTGGATCTGAACTGCTCCTGAAAAAAGGATCTTCAGCCGCTTAGCAGGCTTGTGGCCACTCCACCCCTGCCCCAAATCCCCATGATTCTTGGTGTCCAGCCAGTGGGGGCTGGGTATGCAGACGGGGGTCAGTCTCCCTTCTGATGAGCATGGCCTGGTTTCAATCCTCAGCCCCCCTGAGCTCCTCTTTCCCCCCAGGGACGCCAGGTCTCTGCATTCACTCACTGCACTGCTGGGCAGTGCACAGACTCACTGCCGTGAGGGTCTCCCTGAGTCTGCATACAGCCTGTCCCCTGCAGGAGAGGACTCATAGGGGATGTCTCGGAGCAAGCCCTTGGGTGCAGGGAAGCCCCCAGGGAGGAAGGTGTTGTGGTATCTGATGGGGAACCCACAGCACCCCACGTCCTGGCTGCAGCCAAACCAGGGGGCACTGCCAGGGCTCTGCAGGGCTCCGTGCTGCAGATCCAGCTGGTGGGCTGGTGCAACACAAGTGCAGAAGCAGATCTGTGGATGCTGGCTGGGGAAATCGCTTGGGTAACTCCTGTTGCGTTTGAAGGAGGAGGTGGTGCATGGGCTAATCTAAGGCAGGAAGTTACAGACTTAGAGCTGGGACTAGTATTGCCAGCAGATCCAGAGATGTCATCATTCCCCTTTATTCGGCTTTGGCGAGGCCGCATCTGGAGTATTGTGTCCAGTTCTGGGCCCCCCACTACAAAAAGGATATGGACGCATTGGAGAGGGTCCAGCGGAGGGCAACCAAAATGATTAGGGGGCTGGAGCATATGACTTATGAGGAGAGGCTGAGGGACTTGGGTCTGTTTAGTCTGCAGAAGCGAAGAGTGAGGGGGGATTTGATAGCAGCCTTCAACTTCCTGAAGGGAGGTTCCAAAGAGGATGGAGAAAGGCTGTTCTCAGTAGTGGCAGATGGCAGAACAAGGAGCAATGGTCTCAAGTTGTGGTGGGAGAGGTCCAGGTTGGATATTAGGAAAAACTATTTCACTAGGAGGGTGGTGAAGCACTGGAATGAGTTACCTAGGGAAGTAGTGGAGTCTCTATCCCTAGAGGTGTTTAAGTCTCGGCTTGACAAAGCCCGGGCCGGGTTGATTTAGTTGGGATTGGGCCTGCCTAGAGCAGGGGGCTGGACTTGATGACCTTCTGAGGTCTTTTCCAGTTCTATGATTCTATGATTCTAGTAGTACCCAGAGCTGGCCATGTACTCATAAGAACAGCTATACTGAGTAAGACCAAAGGTCCATCTAGCCCAGTGTGTCTTCCCACAGTGGCTGAGGGAGGTAACGCAAGAGGTAATCCTCACATGATCCCTCCCCTGTCATCCATTTCCAGAGAAACAGAGGCTAGAGATACCATTCCTACCAATACTGGTTAATAACCACTGATGGACCTAACAGCTATGAATCTGTCTAGCTCTTTTTTGAATCCTGTTCAAGTCCTAGCCTTCACCACATCCTCTGGCAAGGAGTTCCACAGATTGACTATGCAGTGAGTGAAGAAAAACTTCCTTATGTTTGTTTTAAACCTGCTGCCTATTAATTTCATTTGGTGACCCCTAGTTCTTATATTGTAGAAATAAATAAATAACTTTTCCTCATTCATTTTTCCACACCAGTCATGATTTTACAGATCTCTATCATATCCCCCCTTAGTCTCCTCTTTTCTAAGATGAAAAGTCCAAATTTTTCTAATCTCTTTTCATATGGGACCCGTGCCAAACCCCTCATCATTTTTGTTGCCCTTTTCTGAACCTTCTCCAATGCCAAAATATCTTTTTTGAGATGAGGAGACCACATCTGTTTGCAGTATTCAAGATGTGGGCGTACCATGGTTTTATATAGAGGTAATAAGATATTCTCTGCCTTATTCTCTATCCCTTTTTAAATGATTCCTAACATTCTGTTTTTCTTTTTTGATTGCAGCTGCACACTGAGTGGATGTTTGCAGAGAACTATCCACAATGACTCCAAGATCGCTCTCTTGAGTAGTTGTAGCTAAATTAGTCCCTGTCATATTGTATGTATAGTCAGGATTATTTTTTTCAATGTGCATTACTTTACATTTCTCAGCATTAAATTTCATTTCCCATTTTGTTGCCCAATCACTTAGTTTTTAAAGCTCTTCTGTGTCTGCTTTGGTCTTAACTATCTTGAGCAGTTTGGTGTCATCTGCAAATGTTGCCACCTCCCTGTTTACCCCTTTCTCTAGATGATTTATACATAAAGGCTCCGTCTACACTGGCATGATTTTCCGAAAATGCTTTTAATGGAAAAGTTTTCCGTTAAAAGCATTTTCGGAAAAGCACGTCTAGATTGGCAGGATGCTTTTCCGCAAAAGCACTTTTTGCAGAAAAGCGTCCGTGGCCAATCTAGACGCGGTTTTCCGCAAAAAAGCCCCGATTGCCATTTTCGCGATCAGGGCTTTTTTGTGGAAAACAGTACTGTGCTGTCTACACTGGCCCTTTTGCGCAAAAGTCTTTCAGAAAAAGACTTTTGCCCAAACGGGAGCAGCATAGTGTTTCCGGAAAAGTACTGACAATCTTACATGAGATCATCAGTGCTTTTCCAGAAATTCAAGCAGCCAGTGTAGACAGCTGGCAAGTTTTTCCGGAAAAGCGGCTGATTTTCTGGAAAAATTGGCCAGTCTAGACACAGCCAAATTGAGTAGGATGGGTCCCAGGACAGGCCTTTGGGGGACCTCTCTCCACTTTGTAAACTAACCATTGATTCCTACTCTTTGTGGGTATACTCGCTTTGTAGGGATACTTTCCGGCTCGCTGTGTCTCCATGGGAAGGGGAGCACGTGGCCTGACCTACAGCATGACAGCCTCCTTTAACCCTGGTCCATGATCCTGGGGCCTCTATCACCTCTGTTTTTTTTCTGCAGGGCTCACTGGATATCCTTTCTCTGCAGGCCCAGGGCAGTTTTCAGGGCCGGCTGAGATGCCTCCCACCTGAACCCAGAAGCAGAAGACGCCATTGGTTCTTGTTGCTGACCTGAGGGGATTCAAATGTGGGTTCCTTGGCACTAAAGGCTGGGCCCACTCCCCTGCTAGGGCTAAAGGTCTGTGCCCAGGTTGGCAGCCCCCCCCCCCCATGCAGAGCAGCCACTGGGGGGGCGGGGCTTGGCCCCAGCCTGGCACAGGGTGGGGGAGGCACGGAGCCGAGGCAGCGCTGCAGCGGGGGGTGCAGGCAGAAGGAGTTGTGACCTGGGCTCTTAGCACCATTAGCCTCTGTTCCCAGCAGCAGCGCTCCCCCAAGGACCTGCCGCTAACCCTGCTACAGCTAGGGCCAGAGCAATTCCAGGCCTGGGATGGTGACTCCATGGTGAGCCCAGTGCCCCACTGGCCAGCCCCATAGAGTGAAGGGGGGCTCCAGGTGAGCTATGGGGTGGGGGTGGGGTGGCATTGCTCCGGCGCTGACCAGCCATGCTGCTGTTTTTCAGATGCAGGGTGCAGGCCGGGGCCCCTTTACCTGCATTCCTAGTTTCTCTGCCTCCAATAACTCTCCAACCAGCTTCAAGTCAACCCTCCTCTGGCCAGCTCCTAGGTCAACTCCGAACTCCCTACCACCCCAGGTGGGATCAGCCCGTCAGCTGTCACTAACCCCTCCTTGATCCCTCCCCAGGAGCCCCCCTTAGCGGCCGCGGGGAGAAAGTCAGACTTGCCGGGGTCCATGCAAGGGCTTTATTTTAGGCCTGAGGGACAGACACAGGCAGCATTTTGCAAACAGCCGCAGAGACGTGATACAAGCCCCAGCCTTCCCCAGAGCCGGCCCCCCCAAGCAGGAGACTGGCAGCCATGCAGGGGAAAGGCCGGGACAAGCGGCACTTTCCTGAGCAGACCGGCCGGCGCGCCGGAGCTTAGTACTTGGACAACCTGACCTCCAGCCTCTCACCGCGGGAGACAGCATAGCACCCAGCGCCTGGAACGAGAGGAGAGGGAAGGGAGGCAAATGGGTAAGTGACCCCTCATCCCTGGTCACCCAGCGCCATGACACCATGCAGGGGAAAGGCCGGGACAAGCGGCACTTTCCTGAGCAGACCGGCCGGCGCGCCGGAGCTTAGTACTTGGACAACCTGACCTCCAGCCTCTCACCGCGGGAGACAGCATAGCACCCAGCGCCTGGAACGAGAGGAGAGGGAAGGGAGGCAAATGGGTAAGTGACCCCTCATCCCTGGTCACCCAGCGCCATGACAACCCCACCCTGCGTCAGTCTGTGTCCCAGTTCTCAACCCCTCGTTCCCTGACACCTCTCACCTCCCCATTCTTTCCCACCTCCCCACCCCCACGACCCCTCCTCCATCACATGCGCCCTGTTCTCTGCCAGCCGTCCCACCTAGTTTCAGCGGGACGTTGTTGCTCAGGAGCTGCCAGTAGGTGCGCTGGGCGTTATTGGCCTGCAGGCCCTGCACGGAGGTGATGTATGCGCCCCACACGCTCAGTGTGTACGTGAAGCTAGAGGGAGACAGAGAGAGAGGCCCTGGTTACCACTGACTCAGCTTCCCCCCCACCCCATAAGGGTTGCCAGGCATCATTTTCGACGGGCACGCCTGCTGAGAAAGGGACCCTGGTGTCTCTGGTTGGCCCTGCTCACCGGGCCATTGAACGTTTGGTTGGTGGCTCAGCTGGGGGCTGGGGCTAAGGCCTGGGACTTTAAACTCCCTCCAGCCTCCCAACCACCTGCCCCAGCCCAGAATCCCTCTTGCTTCCCTGCCCCACCCCAGAACCCACAGCCCTGTACCCAACCCCCTCCCACTCTCCACAGCCTTCACCCCAGCCTGGAGCCCCCTCTGCACCTCAAACACCTCATCGCCGGCCCCACCCCAGAACCCACAGCCCTGTGCCCGACCCCCTCCCACTCTCCACATCCTTCACCCCAGCCTGGAGCCCCCTCTGCACCTCAAACACCTCATCTCTGGCCCCACTCCGGAGCCCACCCCCCCAGAAAGAGATCACATCCCCTCCCACAGCCCAACCCCCTGCTCCAGCCCGGAGTCCCCTTCTGTTCCCCAAACTCCTGTTCCCCAACCCCACCCCAGAGCCCACAATCCTAGCTGGAGCCCACACCCCTTCCTTCACACCAAACCCCAACCTCTCACCTAGAGCCCCCTCCTGTACCTCAAACACCTCATCCTCTGCCCCACTCCAGAGCCCCCCCATCTCCCCAGAAAGAGACCATATCCCCTCCCAAACTCCACCCCTCTGGAGCCTGAGGGATGGAGAGCGGGGGATGGAGCGAGCAGGGGCAGCTCCTCAAGGACGGGGCAGGGCAGGAGTGTTTGGTTTTGTGCATTTAGAAAGTGGGCGACTCTGTCCCCACATCGCACGGACGTGCAGCCCAGGACTCAGTGAGACTGAACCCCCCAGACCGTTGGGGGGAGGGGACACTGAGAAGTAGCCGATCTGGGCCCTGCCCTCAGCTCCAGTCTTGCCATCCCATGGAGACGTCGTCTAGCTGAGTGATGCAGAGGAACCAGTCTTGATTCTCCCTCTCCAGCCCCTGGTAGTTTAACCTGCTGTAGGAACCATTCAGGGTGAGGGTAGCAGGGTCACTCCCCGCCCTCCTCCTGTGGGAGCCCTCCATTTGTTTCCATGTGTCTAGGAGCCCCATACAACCATCTAGCCTGCTCTCTGTGCTGGGCACATACTTGAATTTGCTGGGGTTTTTATCCCGAGCGGCCTCCATCACATTGAAGAAGAAGGAGTTCTGGGGCACGGTGACAAGGATGGAGTCTCTGAAGGTTTGGCTCACGCCATCGACAGCCGTGTAGGTGACAGTGATATTGGCTGAGTGGCAAGGGGTCAGAACACCTGTGTGGAGAGAGAGACGGTGACAAGCTCCAATTATACCTTGGAAGGGGTGAGTCTCTGACTACAGGAACCCCAGTCCCTTTGGGGCTCAAGGAAGACCCAGAGATCCTACCAGGAATGTGGTGGGGGCCCAGCAGTGCAAGGGGAGAACAAGAGGCAGACGCAAACCCAGGCTAAGCGTGGAATATCGCCGAGCCTCATTTGCATATCTAATGAGCCGCCATTTTTGCAGAAGAGGCACTTGCGCCAGAAGGAGCTGTCTACACTGCCCCTTCTTGCGCAAGAAAAACCCTCTTGTGCAATGCCGCTACGCTGATTATTTTCAGGAATAACGGTGTTGTGCAAGAGGGCTTTTCTTGCGCAAGAAGGGGCAGTGTAGACAGCTCCTTCTAGCGCAAGAGTCTCTTCCACAAAATGGCGGCTCATTAGATATGCAAATGAGGCTCAGTGATATTCCACACTTAGCCTCATTTGCATATCTCTGGCACAAGATCACACCAGGGTAGACATAGCCCCAGAGAGGAACTGGGTGATGGCCCTTTGGTCAGGTGGTTACTGGCTTTGAACCCAGGACCTCTGGATCTGTGGCTTGCTACTGCTTGAGCTAAAGCCCAAGGAGCAGTGATTTGGGAGCTAGAGCAGATCCCTATATTGCTAGGTCATCCAGCCACTGGTTGTTTAGAAACAAGAGTAAACCTGGTTAGGAATTTTTCAACTGAATGTTTTTCACCGAAAAATGAACTAAGGAGGAAGCCGTGTTGGGTGGGAAGAAACTCTTGCCGTGAAAAATTTGTGGTTAAAAAGCGTCCAAACTGGAAAGTTTTTCTCTTTTGAGTAGAATTGAGAAATTTTAGTAAATTTACCCAGAAAGAAAAGAGGGGAGAGTGTGAAGTTGAAGCATTTTGAAGTGATCCAGAGGAAATAAGTTGATTAACTCATCCTGTGGGTTTTGTTTTCTGGGATTTTTCCCTTCCTGGTTCAGGCACATTTGAGATTCTTGCCATTTTAGCTTCAGGCAGGACAGGAACATTTTTTTAAAATATAGAAAATCCTCATGTAACGGGAAAAATATTCATCCCTGCCCCAAGCGTGCCAGATGTGCCTCCACCCCATCCCCATGCTGAATTTTAGATGGCTCCACCACTGTGCTTAACAAGACCCTAATGAGGCAGGGCAGTTTTGTTGTCTACGTTGCCCAGATGGGGAAACAGAGACACAAAGAGGCACAGGGCAGATCTGCACAGCACATGGGGGTTGGGGTGGGGGCAAACATAGCAGTGTGGACATTCAGGCTTGGACTAGAGACCCAGCTCCCTACCCCCATCCTTCTCTGGCATTGTCGCTAGCCTGAGAGGCTCTGCCCAGGCTGTTTACACCTGGCTAAATGGGGTGTGACTACAGTCCCTATGCTGGACCACATCTCTAGTGCCCCAGGCTGGCATGGTCCCGTGCTGCTGGTCACCTGTGTCCTGGCCCTGTAACAGCTGCATCCTTGATCCCCGCTCTCTCTTCCCCTCCCCCTTTTCCTGAGTGCCATGTGTGACATTTCCCAGCCTGGGGATGAGCGGTAGGAGAGGTAGGAAGTGAGAGGCTGCCGTGGCCTAGATGGCTGGGGAAACAAAGCTAATGTAGTCCAACCACTGACGAGGTGCAGAGAAGGGAAACTCCTCCTGAATCCCCAGCTGGACCAGATGGACCAGTTTCCAGGGCGTCACTCTGTTTGGGTGACAGCCACACTCCGTCACTGTGGGCGGCAGGGCGGGCGGGTGTAGCTGGTGCGTATGATGGGGAAAGACGCTAGCAGTGTCGGTGCAGTGGGAGTCGCTCTGCTAAACATTCCAGTGTGGATGGGAGGTACAGGGGGGTGGGATGAGAGCTAGGTAGGATGTGTATCCATGTACATATCCATCCTGTCAGGCAGGCTTAACTCTGTTCCCCAAAGCCACAAGGTGTCCTGGACTATTGAGTGGCCTGGGCACACAAAGTCACGCAGTACGAGGAAGCAGGAGGGGGTATTTTTAAGAAAGGGAGGGGGGTTAAGAAAGGGAGGGTCCTCCCCTCCGGTTGTATCCCCATCCCAGCTAGGGAGCAAACCTCTGAAAAAGAGCACCACACAGTTTAATGCTGGACCAATGGCCTCCCTTTTAAGCCATCAGCTACTTTGCATTTATCCGTGTGCTGGGTGGGGGGTGCATGTAGATATTCTGCACGGTCCCAAAGAAACAGGCTGTGCAGTGGGGCTTCGCAGCTGGGGGTGGGATCTTTTAAAATCACCATGAGCTAACCTGGGATGGGACTCGATGGGGTTCTGACCTTAATCGCCTCCACCCCTCAGGGATGCTGTCAGTACGGGTCTGTCTCATGCTACCGAGCTGCGGTGGGGAAAAGGAAGCGGGAGGGGAACTCTATCCCCTGGAGCAGGCTCTGGGAGGGAGAGTCCAGACTCCAGGGTTAACCCCTCCACTGAATCACCACTGCCCCGTGCCTCAGTTTCCCCATGCACTTGAGGAGTTTGGCAGAGGAAGGATTAACAACACCAGCAAAGGGTCCACCCCTCTCTGGGTTCTCGCCCTTCCCGCTGCCACCCAGAAGCTACACCACCCAGGAGAGGGGTACGTGGCACAGGCCATTTGACTCACCACAGCCACGGCACAGCCCCCCAGAGGCGAGGTACAAGAGCAAGAGCCCGGCTAGTGGGATCACCAAAGACTTCATCCTTCCTCTGTCTGCAGTTGCTCCCTGGCTGTGCTGGGAACTGCCCTGGGACCTGGTATTTATCAGCTGGAAGGAGGTGACGAGACCAGGTTGCTCTGCCCTCTTCTGCTGGCTTGCCTCACCCTGCTGCTTCCCGGTAGGAGACACTGAGTAATTCCCAGAAGTGGGACTGGATTCATGCGGGGGTGTTAGGCGTTGCAGCCCAGGGCTAAGGATGGCCATGCAAAAAAGTCTCCAGGCTGCCAAAATTACCGACCTTTTGTGAGGGCCCCTTAGCCCAGGGCCCTGGACTGCAGCTACCAAAGCCCTTGTGTTTTGGCCATCCCTGGTGGGACGGGGAGGTAGCAGGAGTGCAGCTCTGCATGCTGCTGTCCCCCTGCCCTGGTGAGAAGTACTGGGAACTCCATCCACACATGTCCCTCACCTGTCACTGCAGCTCCCATTGGTCAGGAATCATGGCCAATGGGAGCCATGTGGGGCGGGGGCTGCCGGGGGGCCTGCAGGCGAGCACAGGGCAGCACACAGCCCAGGGCCTGTCCCACCAAAGCGAGCTGCCCAGGTAAAGCATCCTGCCAATGTAGACGCTCTTTTTCCGGAAATATTTATAACAAAAACTGTTCCATTTTAAGCATTTCCGGAAAATCATGCCAGCGTAGACGTAGCCGCAGAGTTTGGGAAATAGCAACAGAGACATGACTACAAGACACAGTGGTGCCCAGGGGCCTGTTCCACTGAGGGGAATATCTCCTGGATGGGAAGGAGGGATGAACCCTTAAATTTCTTCCAGGGGAAAGGCCGGGACACACTGCATCTTCCTGAGCAAGATGATCAGTGAAAATTAATTAATTAGTTCAACACTTCATCAATGGAAAGTGGATTATACCCCAGTGTGGGAAGTTGGAACACAGAAATTCCCTTGGGGTTGTCCCTGATCATACTGCTGATGCCCATCTTCCTGCTCCGTGGGGCTTCCCCACCACAGGGCTGGAAGCTCTGGTTTCCCCTAGGCATGGTACAGAATTGGGGTTACCGCCCTTGCAGAGCAACTCAGACACTGGGCCAGTTCAGCTCTGGGAGGACTCAGGTATAAGGACTCAGCACCCAGGAAATCAATTCCTACAAGGGACCAAATCCCAAACAAGTCCATCTTACCCTGTGAAAAAGTTGAACACAGAGAAAGCTCAGCAGGATGTGTTTATCAATGAAAGAGAGATATGCACAGTGGTTGTTTCGTCTCCCAGGTAACAATTATTTACACTGGGCTGATAATAAACAAAAGTGTTGTTATTAAGTACAGACAGTAGCATTTAAGTGGTTGCAAGAGAAAAGAGACAGATCAAAGTCAGTTTCTAAGTTAAAATAACAAAAATTCATTAGCTAGTCCTAATCCACTAAGAAATGTGTTATATGCAAATCCTTACCCATACCATTTGTTCTAAACATCTCTTTCACAGACCCCTAGCGTGGGCCCAATCCTTTCTCCTCTTCAGTCTTAGATGTTTCCAGGTGGTATTTAAAAATGTAAAATAAAAAAGGGGGGGGGAGGGTCTCTTGTCCTCTGGCAACTGCCCCTATTCTTTGTATGCACTCCCTCATTATAACCCTTTTGCCCAATGCAGGAATTCTCAGTGCTCAGATCAAACTTCTCTCACCTTGAGTAGAAAAGTACCAGATCTGAAGTGGGTTTCAGCATTAGGTGGCCCGACCACATCTCTTTCTAGGACCAACCACAGTTTGGGCTTTCAGGAATTATAAAACCATTCACAAATTGCTGACTTGAATGCCAAGCCATTAAGTTTCCAGAGGACCAGTAATGGCCTTTGTTAGCACGTTTATATTATAAACAGATCCACACTTCATATTTCTAACTTCACGTAGAAGAACGATACCTGTTCAAATTAGGTTATACACATTCAGCAGATTGGAAGATTAAAATTGATTTCTTACATGGGGTATTTTGTCTAAAGCATCTTTGAGTTATCCATCCTCCTATACCATTCTTTGTAAAGCATAGGAGTGGGGGTGTGACACCCCGCCTTTGCAAAACCTAAGCTGATACCAAGGACATCAGGCAAACTGTTACAGATTAAAATAATTTTTGACTACAAAAGATAGATTTTAGGTAATTATATGTGAAAGGCAAAAAGTCAGAGTTAGTTACCAGATAGGGTTGCCAGATGGTTGAACCAAAAATACCAAACACCCCCCTGTGACAAGGGCCAAGGAGGTGCAGGGGCCGCAGGGGAAGTGGTCCAGGGAATTAGAAAATGGAAGAGGCCAGGCTGGAGGCTGTACATGGTGGAGACAGTCCTGCAGTGGGAGGGAAGGGCACAGGGTGAGGGGGAGCATGCCGGACAGCGACGCATGCTGCAGGGGAGCTTGGCGATCCGGACACTGTATGCCACCGGCAGCAGCTCTGGGTGTCCCCACAAAGCAACAAGGGAGCCACTTAGGTGCTTAGGAAAGGTGCTAGCGCTGGGTGTCTGCAAGGGTGTCCTGGAAAGGGGGGGAAATGGCGGTGCTGTTTGTAGCCGGATCCCAATGAGTTTTCTGGGACATTTGTTGCCTTTATTGGAACACCAGGACAGAACCCTTAAATGCTCCCAAATTTCCTCTTTCTTAAATGTGGGACTGTCCCAGAAAAAAGGATCATATGGTCACCGTACCTATATGTCTGCAGTGGCCCATTGCAACTCAGAAAGCCACCTGGCCACTAGAGATCTGTGTTCAGGTGGTGTGTAAGCTCCCCTGTTGGAGCTCTTAGCTACAGCACAGCTTTAGTTTGAAATGTAAGTTCTGCAGAGGAGGGTTGCCCTGGGACAAGGAGTCAGTATTTTGTTTACAGACAGAGGCAGGGTGATTAAGATAAAGGAATGGTGATTAAATTAGGGATCTGGGAGTCTAGCCTGTAAAACAGGAATCCCTGGGAAGGAAGGAATGGGTATAACTATCATCTTTGAAAAATCATGGAAGACAGGAGAGATTTCAGAAGACTGGAAAAGGGCAATTGTAGTGCCTATCTATAAAAAGGAAAACAAGAACAACCCAGGAAACTACAGACCAGTCAGTTTAACTTCTGTGCCAGGAAAGATAATGAAGCAAGTAATTAAGGAATTAATCTGCTAACACCTGGAAGATAATAAGGTGTTAAGTTACAGCCAGCAATCTGGTAGCATTCTTTGATAAGATAACGAGTCTTGTGGGAGAAGCATTGAACTTGGTATACCTAGACTAGTGGTCTCCAACCATTTTAACCACAAGATCACTTTTTTAATTTCAGTGCAATGTAAGATCTACCTCAAACCCAAACAGCCCTGCAGTACTTACTTCCCACCCCTTCTCTGAGGCCTCCCCCTGCTTACTTCATCCCCTTCTCTCCCCCATTCTCACTCACTTTCACCAGGCTAGGGTAGGCGATTGGGGTGCAGGCTCTGGTCTTCGGTCAAGGGGTTTGGAGTGTGGGAGGGGCTCCGGGCTCCAGGGTGAGGGATGGGGGTCCAGGTGGGGTTCAGGGTGCAAGCTCTGGGAAGGAGTTTGAGTGCAGGGAGATGCACGTCTGGGGCAGGAGGTGGGTGCAGGAGGAGGTTCAGGGCTGGGACAGGGGTTCAGGAAGCAGGCTCTGTCTGGGCACCGTTTAACTGAGACAGCTTGCGGGTGGTGGAGCAGTGGGGTTAAGGCAGGCTTACTCCTACCCTGGCCCTGCCCCACTCCTGAAAGCAGCTGTCATGTGCTTCCCCTCATCTACAGGCACTGAGCCCATTGCTTCTACTAGCTACTTTTATTGACCAATGGGAGATGCAGGAGCAGTGTCTACTCGCAAGGACAGCCTGTAGAGATCCCCTGCTGTGTCTTTCTCAGGGGCTGCAGGGACGTGCCAGCCATGTCCAGGAGCAGCAGTTACCATGGGGATAATTACTCAGCCACGGATGGTTCAGCATTTTAGAACTCACTGCTCAAAGAATTACACTTAAGCGTAAGAGAAAAATGAAAACGATGAAATGCACAGACCAGCCAAACACCAAAAATAACCCACTAAGAAGTAACAACAACCCCCCACGTGTGTGTTGGGTTGGGAGACGAGTGAAGGACAGTGTGGGTCTGTGAGAAGGACAGAGACACACGCCGTGTGTGAGCGACAGATTTGCATGGCCAAGTTCCCTCCATCCCCTTCTCTCTGTGTGGAGACAGGGTACAGAAGTGGGGGGAGGAGGGACACCCTGACATCAGCACACACACACACACACCCTTCTCCCTCCTACACCCTGCACAGCCAGCAGGAAACTCCCAGGAGGGCAGCTCCAAGGCAGAGGGCAGGAGCAGCATGACAGTGGGGGCAGGGGCAACTGAAGTGCCAACAATGGAGAGCTTCCTGGCCAAACCAGTCAGGATCACCTGTCAGAGGCTCCAAGATCTACTGGTAAATCCCGATCTACGGGTTGGTGACCACTGGTCTAGACTTTGGTAAGGCATTTGGTACGGTCTCGCATGATCTTCTTATCAATAAACTAGGTAAATACAACTTAGATGCGGCTACTACAAGGTGGGTGCATAACTGGGGCATAAGAGTAAGGTGAGTGATAACCGTTCTCAGAGTAGTTATTAACAGTTCACAATCCTTCTGGAAGGGCATGACAAGTGGGGTTCTGCAGGGGTAGGTCAGCCGGTGAAAAATGGCTACAGCCATCCAACTGACCATGTCACCTGACACTGGAACCCATCTTGAATTCTGACATTTTCCATGACAAGCTGAGAGGGGGTTAAACTAGGGAACAAAGGATTCTGCTTTCTGCAAATCCTGTTTAAGGGTAGGGAATGAAGTAATCCTGGTGGGCTGTTCTCCCCAGCCACCCCACCACAATAATGGCTGGAAACTAAAGACCGAGATGGGGGAAGGAATTAGGCCCAGGCTGGAAGGGTGACTGGAGAGTGAAGATTATTAGAACCACATTTACAGTGAGATCTTGCATGTAACAAGTTTCTTTAGTGTATTAAGCTTAGCTTGAGTCTTTATTTTACT